AATCGTTCGACTAACGACGGTTGTCACCATAGAAACAGCGATCAGGCCACTTTTGAAGACTCGACCGCTCATTGGCTGAGCAACATCACGCCATCGGCGGACGTCTTGTAGAGCTGCTAAGTTCTGATTGGTGGAATTCAATTCTGCTTCAATCCTATAAAAGGACTGAGTTGTGGCGGGAAGTTTAGTTCACCTTGGACGCTTGAAGGGAACTCACGTTGGACCTCAGTTCGCCGAAGCTGCCCCGAAGCTTGTCTCGTCTCGTTGGACTGTAAAGGACTAGAGTTAGTTCGTTGCAAGGTGTCTTTTCGACGGACCTGTGATAGTGGATACATGTGTCGAACTTTGTTACGATTAACGATTTGTAAATGTTTGTTTTGTGAACCTTTGTAACTGTACATACGTTTCTTTCAATATATATTTAAGTTTTGAATTTAATCGGCGTATGTGTGGTGATTTTGAACTTTACTGTCAGTTACAAAAATTATAACATATGTACAATAAATGTAAAATTAAAAGATATATATTAAAATAGTAAGAGCTTTTTATTTGCTTGTAACACAAACTTTTTGATGGGGGTCGATGTGAGGTTTCGAAAAGTTGTAGAGGATCGACGATCAGAAAAGTTTGACGATCCATGGTCTAGACTAAAAGTCACATGAATTTAATTCAAAAACTTTTCTCTGAATGGAGTTACATAGATGATTGGCATGACTCCGTTATTATCAGGAAAAGTATGACGTACAGGGGCAAGACACTACTAATTTGAGATGGAAAACATATATTGTAAATTAAATAAATTAAGAATTAAAATAATTTGAAGTTTAGACTATGTACAAAAAGTCAAAAATAACTTTTGAGTCCATCTTCATCCCTTATACACTACCACAGAAGTAAGTCTTAAAAAAATGTTTTGAAGAAATCTTATACGCGGGTAAAAATTGGTAAAAATTTCACAAGGTTAAAAAAGATCGAGTGTCAGCCTTTCATTTTTGTACATAGTCTAAACTTCAAATTATGAAGAAAATACATCCTGAGTAATCAAAAATTGTAAGAATTAAGAATTTCAGCGCAGCATTCTGACGAAGTTACGATAAATAATTGCTCGTTAGCATTTACAATTTTTTTTTTTTTTTTTTATAAAACTCATCCCTACTCTCAAAATGAAGCTTTTTGCACGAAATGTCTCCAGTATTGGCTATCCACTTGTCAACCACACATTCTTTAAAATATTGGTGCAAAACTTTCAACATGATATTCTCGAAATATCATAAGCCTTGTTTTAAATTTACAGACCAAGAATTTATCGAATTATTTATAAAAATATGTGTAGCTTCGAATATATTTTGTACAGTATAGGCCTATATTTAAGAAAAGAGCAAAATTCCAAACCAACTCTTGTTTCAACATTAATTTTTTATTTTTTATACGTGAAAACGTAAAAATAAAAAATACTACTGGTATAACTACTGGTAATTAGTTGGAGTTTTCTAGGTTTTTCACGTGTCTAACACTTAGAGGGAGGCAAGTTTACCAAAGAAAATCATTCATCTTTGTAGACCCATGTGCTGCGATGCCATATTCCATCAAATCAAACTAAACTTTATATTTTAAATTAAAGTATGCAAAGTAAGGTAAAGTATGCAAAGTAAGGTAAAGTATGCAAAGTAAGGTAAAGTATGCAAAGTAAGGTAAAGTAATTTAAAAATACAAATCATTCAAAAAATTGCAATTAAATGGAGATTTTATGAAAACACGTTTTTTCTATTGATAAATTAGTTTGTTTTATAATAAGGGATATAATATTATATTTCTTAGAATAAAAAATTATGTCATCAGCATGACATCTTTGCTTATTTATGTTGTTATTTAGAGTACTATATTCTACATTAGTTTTAAACCTAAAATAACTTTGGATATATTTGAACTCTATATTAAGGTATTAGTGGTCACTTCCGCAATCTAACAATGAAAAAACATATATAATTATAAATTTGATCATTTGTTATTTTCTACATTCTTTAATATAAAAACAAACTATAAAATCAGCCATGTGAGAAATTCATTGTATTTTTTACTAGCAATTTCTATTGATTAATTGTTACTTTTACATTAAATTACACCATATTCTTACGAAGAGTGCGTTTAGATTACTGGTTCTTAACATTTTCCTCTGCCTCGAATTTTTAAAATATACTTTCGTACTTCAAATGATATTCATTGAATATTAAAATGATAATTCATTTGTACTTCAAATAATAATTCATTGATATTTTCGTTTAAGGAAATAGCATCTTTTATTACAATCTCATTTTATCACGTTTATTTCAGCTTAACTTTAGTTATAATTTGAGCAAATAAGATATATAAAAAAAGTTTATCTGTACCTATTTATCAATATAAAGACATTTAGGTCTAGGTTAAAGAAGTACGATAGAAAAATATACATAATTTTATATTTGAATTTGATATTGGTGCATTTTATTTTTAAAAAAGACTTAGTTCTCAATGAGAAAATGGAAAAGTGATTTAGAAACTTCAATGACAGGAAGAAAAAATTTTAATCTAGGGAGCAAAATATCATCATAGACACCAAAAAATATGGATAATTTTCTAACAATTTATTTCCAACAATTTAAGCTAAAAATATAACATAAGTATTCAGTTACTATAAAAGAATAAATATAGACTATTATATTATATTTTTATATATATATTTTTATATTATATTGTATTATATATTATAAATATATTATATTTATTCAATTATGAATAAATATAAAACTAAGAGTGAGTTTTATGAGTGTAGTAAGGCATTTAACGACAACATTTCAAGAAATTTTACAGTATAACCTCTTCTAAGCCATTATAAACTCTATAATCTAGATACAAGTCTAATTACATTAATTTTGTCATGTTTTTATGCTGAAGAAATTAAAAAGATCAGTTTAAAAGTTTATATTCTTCTAAGGTCAGTAAATTGTATTATTTCTAGATGATAATGACGATGGTTGATATTAAAATCATTATAACAGAAAAACAGTGTACTGTATAATGACGAAACGTGGCAATGTCTTTAAGTCACAAAAAAATGTTAATATCTGTTGATATTTAAAAAAAAAAATTCAGCAACGACTTGCTTAACTTTCCCGGAAACATTTGGTGGCGCAATCTATTATGATATTTTATTTAAAAACTTTTTATATTTTTAACTATTATATAATAGCAAAAAGCTTAATTTTGAGGATAGGAATGGGTTTTATAAAAGATTGTAAATGCTAATAACAAGTAAAATCGTCATTAAGTTCGACTCTACTGGAGATATGACATACGCCTCTCTTTATCTCGCCACCCCTCGACCTTTAACCACCAAAATTTAATAGCATCAATCCCCTAATAAGCAAACCTTTCTGAAAAATTTCATAAATTTTTATAAATTTTCGATAAAAAGCACAGGAATTATTGAGCTTCAAACAGAGTGGACAAAAAATCGTGTCCTCCGACACACACTAGCATCCGTACATACAGAAAAAAAAAACCCGAATTTTTTTGCATTTCTCGACGTTTCAAGACCCCTGAGTACAAAAATCTCGTATAAAAATCTGGGTGGGTCATTTTTTGACCGATTGCCATCTGTACTGTACATACTTTATAACAGCCAGGAAAGTAACTGGTATTAAATATGATTATAGAAGTTCGACAGAACAATAAGTTTAAATCAGAATTTTCAATACTCTTCGCTGTTTCTCATAGATTTACTCTTAACAACTTAAAAATAGTTTATTGACTCGTTTGATTTGTTTTTTCCATAATTAATAGCTTTCTAGGGTTACTGAATATTTAGATAATAATACGTTCTAATGTTATAAATTGATTTATGGTTATTACTGATGATGATATTGAATACAATAAAATGCTATGAAAATGAATTTGTGTAGTAAGGCAAGGAAATACAGTCGATTTATCAATAGAATGCCTCCCGGAAGGACTTTCTATGGTCGTCTATGGAAATGAGAAGTTTTTAATATCAGATCAATTAATCTTCTATTTATTAGTAGAAAATTAATTACACATCATAATTAAATAAAATTCATTTTAGATATGATTTCAGTTACTTTATATTTATTTTAAGTATTAAAATTTCTTCATGAGAAAGATTTCATTTTATAAAAAATATTTTGTAGAAATAATATAATTTCAAAGTTTAAAAAGAATGAATAATGGTTTCATCAATTCGGATATTAATACAGGCAAGCCTATGAATAGTGACGGAAATTGTTTGATATACGTTGTTTGGGGGTTATTTCTGTTCAAAAAAAAGTTAATAAAAAAGGGTCGCTATTTACAGGTAGACGTTACTTGAAAATGGCCGTTATTAGAGGTTATTGACCGTACTTTCACGAAGATTCCTCAATTTTTATTTAAATATATTAAAAATACTAAATAATTCTTATTAATTTTATAATTTTGTGTTAAAATATTTTAAAATATATATATCGGATCAATAGACATGTTTTCTAGAGCAGTGAATTTCCGGAAACTTTGATATCATTGTTTCACTTGCAAGTTAGTTTGGTAGAAAGATATTTAAGAAGTTTTCTTTAAATATAAATGAAATCTTTAAAGATGTTTTGAATTTATCTCATATATATAACAAGATCAAAAGTATTTTAAATGACCGAGAAAAGTCATGAAAATATTCAAATAGTGTTTTTGATTATATATAAAATTTAATGTTTTGCTCAATCTACTTGAATAGAAAGTTTTTAAAATGCAAAATATACCATAGGAAATGTTCTAAGCTACATATCATACAAATTAAAATAATAAATTGTACAAAATTTTACTTTTTGCAATTTAGTGGAAAGATTTTATGAAGGAGTACTTTAATAATTTGTATTTTTTAAATGCATTTAATATCGATAGAAGGTAAAACATATTTATAACTCTAATCCAAATCAACCATTTAATTTGTAGAATTTATCTTGCGATATTTTCATTTAAGGATCCTTCTTTTCTTTCGGAGGACATGGAAATAATTCACATTTATCTCGTTTAATAGCTCGAACTAGAAGTTTCATACCAAATTTTTCGGCCCAACCTTCGTCAATTCTGAAGTAAAAATAAACAAAAAAAATTTAAGCTTATAATTATAATAAATACTATTAAAATATATTAATNATTAATATAATATTAATAAGTAAATAAAATATATTTGAGATTAATAGAATTAATACTGAAAGGTTGCTGTTCACTTTACATCTAGAATTTTTATTTATAAAGGTCAATTAAATTAATTAATAACTATTTAATTTGGTTTTTCTTTTGTAGCATTAATGCGTATAATGTTAATTATCGATAAATCTGCCACAAAATCGGATTAATTAGCATGAGTAATGAATATAAACTCGAGTTCTGTTAACCATTATGAGTTTAATCTGTATAGAAAATTGTTACAATTATAGGAATATCACTTACAGTTTAGTAATTCCATAGAAAATCTTCTGAAAGAAATTCGATTTCTCGTTTTTTCCTTCATTTGTGACTTGACAAAATATTCTTTGCAAGCACATAGGGTCGTCTAAATTTCTCACACCGTAAGTAGTTACGGCATCAAGTACAGGGTTGGAATATTTCTGATCTAAAATGCTTCTCTTCTTTCTTCCAGCTGCTGTGGTTACTGTAGCGGGTATGGTCATTACGCTTGGTACAATGGCTGCTAACATCAATCCCAAAGGAAGTAATCCTAATGCCAAAGCTAATGGCGCGTATTTCGATTTCTTTTTTGAATAAACTTTATGTTTGAAATGAACGGGAGGTCCCCCGTGATCGTAATAATCGCCATAATAATCGTAATTATAGAAAGGATGATGTTTGCTTTCACTAGAATACTCTGGTTTGCTAACGTGATAACTCGGTTGATATCTATCTGGTTTTTTTGGACGATCTTTGCCCTTTTTGTAAGATGGAGGGATCGGTTTTTTTGCATAAAGATCATCAAATGATTCATCAGTTTCGAAAGGATCATCAGAAGGATCGTCCGGCTCGTTGTAATTAGAAGGTTTGTTTTTGTTATAAAATTCCTGAGGTCTCCTGTCATTTACTGGTTTTTTCTTACGATACGGATTCTCGCTATATACTGGCCTTTTGTCGTCATCGCTATTATATTCTGGGTAGTAAGGACGCGAATATGATCCTTCTCTATAAACTGGTGCCTGAAGTCTCGATTCTACTTGGTTATTGTTAGATTCTGTATCTTGATCAGGATAAACAGGTTGATTATACGTAGGATTAGGAAAATTTACGCTCGATTTGATTTCTTCATCCGGTGATGAGTATGCCACTACAACAGGACTTTTATATGGGGATGACGATGTAGTTGGGGGTCGAGTAGTAGTTGAAACAAGGCTTTTATAAGCATAACCAGATTTCTTTTGACTGGATTGCCCGTAAGAAGACGGAGAATACGCACTATGTCCGTAAAATACTGATACGCTACTTTCGGTAGTGGATTTTAGAGCATCTCCGTCAACTTTGGCAACTCCTGAATAGCTAGGGTCGAAGAGAACATTCCAAGGGATATTAGTGGCTGATCCTGTTCTATGGTTATGGTAACTTTGATTAAAACTAGACGACACAAATTTTTCGGCTTTGGGTAGTTGTGGAGAAAATACCACCAAAACGATACATATCTTCAAGCATAATGAAACGGATTCATGCTTTACATGAAACATTGCCACCTTAAAAATAAAAAATATGTTAGCCCATGCGAGATATACAGATTATTTTGAAATTCATTGAAACATAAAAATAATATTATCTAAACAAATAATAGAATCAACTTATAAAGCAATTATGTAATTAAATGATATTTCATCCAGAATAAAAAAAGTTTAAAATTCGATTAAATTACATCCTTGTTTGTTATGTAAACATCATGATTGATGTGCCTTTTTATTTGCCATTTACTATATTCATTGTCTTCGCTTCAGTAAAAATGTTCCTTTAGAAAAATATGGAATTTCTTCTTGCATGTTGCTAACATGTTCCACATGGAAAGACTTATTGTATCTACAGCCCGGTTGCTTTAAAAATGACTTCGGGACAAGGGTTGCGGTCCAACGATCTTCTTTGGGTCTAACGGAACATATTAGTCCACACCTTCTTATTTACTATTGACCCAAGGTCGAGAAAGTTCCGATTTTATATTTTAAAAATATAATTTCATAATATTTTAATATCAAAATATATAGAGAAATTATCTCAGAATACTGATCCATTTCTATAACTTTAATAATCTTTATACTATGAAAATTTTAAATATTATGAGAATAAAATCTTAAAATTTCTGAGAATAGCACTTCTATAAGTTTATTTTATATATTTTATTTATATAATTCAATTTTGATACAATAAGAGCAAAACAAAAATGATATTTTGGAATATTTAACCAAAGTTAGCTTATCAATTATCAACAGTTTTGAAATATTTAATGTTTAATAATTAAAAGTTAATATTAATTTCTACTATATTATCTGTACTTATATATGAAAAATGAATAAATTTGTCCCGACATTTGAAGTTTGTACAAAGAAACAAATCATAAACTCATTACCTACCTGAATCAAATCCCAAATGAATTTTTCAACTGTAAGAAGCACATGAGTTCTAATGTTATGTCGAATCCCGTCACCCTCATCTGCAGATGGTGGAACATCCACTCAATTATATTAGTTTTACACAACACGCCTGAGAGATCGGATATTCGAGGGTGGGACGACCTTTCGGGTTCGTTCCAAAAGTTTGGTTAAAAGGGTCGTCTGTGGTTTTGTAGTTTATGTGGAAAAGTAACTGAACTAACGTTTTTGGTGCAAATGATCACTACCCTTGAATGGCATCCTGATATTTTGTTTAAAAAAATCCGTTTTTGGGACATTGTCCCATATTTTTCCTATTGTAACATCTTTCTCTTTTTAGTGAAATTCATGGATACAAAAGTGTTTATGGTTCTTATCCTCTTAAAATATGAAAGAATGAATAAATATGATATTTTAATGATAACTAACGGATGTTAATCTTACAATGTAAAAGCTAAAGTGAAAAAAAAGGTCAAAAGTTCAAGTTGTTTAAGAGGGGTAAAGTACAGGATTTTAAAAGTAATAAAACTTACACGATTTAAATCGAAATTTTTTAGATAAAATCGCTTTATATCAAATAAAAATAAAATTTTTGAACGTTTTAAAATAAAATATAGCAAGTTTCTAAGAATTTAACAAGAATCAAAAACAATGTCATATAAAAACGAGTTTATAACATTAAAAACAATTTTTAAGACAAAAAAAAGAGAATAAAAAAAATAGAAAGGAATTTGTAGTAGACCCAAAAAAATCCTAAACTATTAAAATAAAGAATTCTACTACTATGAAACTTATCATAATAAAAAAAAATAAATAAACGATCTCGAGATATAAAATAAAGCGATTTCTAGAATCAAAATTCTTATAATATTGAAAGAAGTTCCAAGAAATTGAAAGTTGCTTCTGTTAAATAAGAAGTTTATTTATTTTTTTATTTCTAAAATGTTTTTTTTTAGATTAATAAATTTGAAGTAGTAAACATTTAGACATAAAATAAGCATTAAACAACTTTAAAAAGAATTTCAAAGGTTACAAATAATTTTTTTTATTTCAAAAAATCTGTTTTTTCGCTTTCAGAATTGAGTTTTCTTGAAGTAAAAGTATATTTTAAACACTAAAAACTAATTAATATAAAAACAAAGCAGAAAAATATATTAAATGTATAATTGTCATTCAAATATTTATAATGTATATGAAGTAAAAGTGAGTATATAAAAATATTATAAATTTTAAAATAAAATTTAAATAAATTGAATTATAGAAAGAGTTTATTTCATAAATTAACCAAGCGTGATAAGTTTAAAAAATCTACTACAATAAAGATTAAACGACTTCTTATTAGCAGCAATTAGGAAGTTGAAAGAACAATGGCAACGTGAATTGTCCCGCCCTCTCTTGGATAAAAAATAATGATAATAAAGTGCAATTTCTTCGACTAGATGACAGATCGCTTTCTGTAGAAGATAATTTAATAACAACAAATAAAAAAGAAATAACATTGTGATTTTTATTAACAATAAGCTAATTGTTATTCATAATGAAGCAACTAAATCATTTACAATATGTCCTTTATTCATTTGTTATAGTTAAAATTAGCCTTGTTTAACAAGTTTAAAATAACTTTATCTTATATATGACGTATTAAAATAAACTTATTATTATTTATTTGTATTTTTTTAAACGGAAATAGATTAAGAATAATTTATTTTAATTATAAAAGGTTACGTTAGTTTAATTTTACACGTACAGGTGGCGCTGAGTAGGTCTTATAAAATTTTTATTAAGTTGCTAAAATCGAAAATTTTTAATTATAATTTAACAAAAAAATTAAGTTCATTAAAATTAAAATTAGTATTAAAATATTTTATACATAATTTCATGCTTAAAAAAATATGAAATATTAAAAATGGCATTGGAATTTTATTTTATTATTAAAAATGCTTTAAAATAAAAAAATATTTAATAAAATTTATTTGAGTTTCAAATTATTTAGATTAACGCAGAGCAAAAAAGAAAATAATAATAAATGCAAATTGTATTGAAATATATTAAAATATAGAACTTAGTTTATTTTAATGATTTATGATGTCACTTCCGGAGAATTGTGAAAAGCGACGTCATGTGATCGTAATCTAAATGATTAAAATGACGTGTCAATGTTGTAGTTTATTATGCAAAAAAAGAATTACTATTTTTTTAATTTTACAAGAAAACTATATTATTTATCATTACTTTCATGTTTGAAATACTGTAATAATAATTATTATTAAAAAAACGTTTCCTACTTTGATGAAAATTACGGAAAGAATCTGTCATTTTATTTAAATAACAGTATAAATTTAAAAATGTTTTTCTTACCAAAGCGGATAAAATCGAATAATTTTTATATTTATCAAATATTATTTTATCATCATAAAAGTAAAATTATTTTAAAACATTCAATGACGTCAATTTATTGATTACGATTACGATTGCGTAATTTCAAATACTTTGTAATTTCCCGGAAATGACGTATTTTCTCGGACATCAAAGCTCGAATCGAAAAATTCATCTCTGCTTCCACTTATAAGTTTGTCTTCCAAATTAAAAAAAATATCCCGAATAATTTTAAAGTATTAAATTAAAATATTTTCAATTCCAAATACCAAAGTTTGATTTTATTTTTGGTTTTTTTATACATTATTTGTACAATAATTGATTATTATTACTGTATTATTAAATAAGGAATCATTTCAAAAACAGCATATAAAAATGCCGTTTAATGCCTTGATACAATAACATATGGCACAATTCTCTCTTCACAACGCATATGACCATTTAATTATAAATAACGTAGATTACAATTCTATATTTAACATTATTAAATATGTATATATAGGCTGCTGTATTTAATGTTTAATAATTAAAAGTTAATATTAATTTCTACTATATTATCTGTACTTATATATGAAAAATGAATAAATTTGTCCCGACATTTGAAGTTTGTACAAAGAAACAAATCATAAACTCATTACCTACCTGAATCAAATCCCAAATGAATTTTTCAACTGTAAGAAGCACATGAGTTCTAATGTTATGTCGAATCCCGTCACCCTCATCTGCAGATGGTGGAACATCCACTCAATTATATTAGTTTTACACAACACGCCTGAGAGATCGGATATTCGAGGGTGGGACGACCTTTCGGGTTCGTTCCAAAAGTTTGGTTAAAAGGGTCGTCTGTGGTTTTGTAGTTTATGTGGAAAAGTAACTGAACTAACGTTTTTGGTGCAAATGATCACTACCCTTGAATGGCATCCTGATATTTTGTTTAAAAAAATCCGTTTTTGGGACATTGTCCCATATTTTTCCTATTGTAACATCTTTCTCTTTTTAGTGAAATTCATGGATACAAAAGTGTTTATGGTTCTTATCCTCTTAAAATATGAAAGAATGAATAAATATGATATTTTAATGATAACTAACGGATGTTAATCTTACAATGTAAAAGCTAAAGTGAAAAAAAAAGGTCAAAAGTTCAAGTTGTTTAAGAGGGGTAAAGTACAGGATTTTAAAAGTAATAAAACTTACACGATTTAAATCGAAATTTTTTAGATAAAATCGCTTTATATCAAATAAAAATAAAATTTTTGAACGTTTTAAAATAAAATATAGCAAGTTTCTAAGAATTTAACAAGAATCAAAAACAATGTCATATAAAAACGAGTTTATAACATTAAAAACAATTTTTAAGACAAAAAAAAGAATAAAAAAAATAGAAAGGAATTTGTAGTAGACCCAAAAAAATCCTAAACTATTAAAATAAAGAATTCTACTACTATGAAACTTATCATAATAAAAAAAAATAAATAAACGATCTCGAGATATAAAATAAAGCGATTTCTAGAATCAAAATTCTTATAATATTGAAAGAAGTTCCAAGAAATTGAAAGTTGCTTCTGTTAAATAAGAAGTTTATTTATTTTTTTATTTCTAAAATGTTTTTTTTTAGATTAATAAATTTGAAGTAGTAAACATTTAGACATAAAATAAGCATTAAACAACTTTAAAAAGAATTTCAAAGGTTACAAATAATTTTTTTTATTTCAAAAAATCTGTTTTTTCGCTTTCAGAATTGAGTTTTCTTGAAGTAAAAGTATATTTTAAACACTAAAAACTAATTAATATAAAAACAAAGCAGAAAAATATATTAAATGTATAATTGTCATTCAAATATTTATAATGTATATGAAGTAAAAGTGAGTATATAAAAATATTATAAATTTTAAAATAAAATTTAAATAAATTGAATTATAGAAAGAGTTTATTTCATAAATTAACCAAGCGTGATAAGTTTAAAAAATCTACTACAATAAAGATTAAACGACTTCTTATTAGCAGCAATTAGGAAGTTGAAAGAACAATGGCAACGTGAATTGTCCCGCCCTCTCTTGGATAAAAAATAATGATAATAAAGTGCAATTTCTTCGACTAGATGACAGATCGCTTTCTGTAGAAGATAATTTAATAACAACAAATAAAAAAGAAATAACATTGTGATTTTTATTAACAATAAGCTAATTGTTATTCATAATGAAGCAACTAAATCATTTACAATATGTCCTTTATTCATTTGTTATAGTTAAAATTAGCCTTGTTTAACAAGTTTAAAATAACTTTATCTTATATATGACGTATTAAAATAAACTTATTATTATTTATTTGTATTTTTTTAAACGGAAATAGATTAAGAATAATTTATTTTAATTATAAAAGGTTACGTTAGTTTAATTTTACACGTACAGGTGGCGCTGAGTAGGTCTTATAAAATTTTTATTAAGTTGCTAAAATCGAAAATTTTTAATTATAATTTAACAAAAAAATTAAGTTCATTAAAATTAAAATTAGTATTAAAATATTTTATACATAATTTCATGCTTAAAAAAATATGAAATATTAAAAATGGCATTGGAATTTTATTTTATTATTAAAAATGCTTTAAAATAAAAAAATATTTAATAAAATTTATTTGAGTTTCAAATTATTTAGATTAACGCAGAGCAAAAAAGAAAATAATAATAAATGCAAATTGTATTGAAATATATTAAAATATAGAACTTAGTTTATTTTAATGATTTATGATGTCACTTCCGGAGAATTGTGAAAAGCGACGTCATGTGATCGTAATCTAAATGATTAAAATGACGTGTCAATGTTGTAGTTTATTATGCAAAAAAAGAATTACTATTTTTTTAATTTTACAAGAAAACTATATTATTTATCATTACTTTCATGTTTGAAATACTGTAATAATAATTATTATTAAAAAAACGTTTCCTACTTTGATGAAAATTACGGAAAGAATCTGTCATTTTATTTAAATAACAGTATAAATTTAAAAATGTTTTTCTTACCAAAGCGGATAAAATCGAATAATTTTTATAT